AGGATAGAATAACGTTGATTTGTTGTGATTGGTAATTTTTCTCATCTTCTATCAACTTCTTTATTATTGTAATTTAGATTTAATTGATTGAACAATCATTGGTTGAATAGCCGGGTGATAATATTTGTTTAGGTAATGATTTACATTAAATTTATTAAGAATTATAGAACCGCTAGTTACCCGATTACTTGTTCTGATTTCGACGGGAAAGGGCGCGTGTCTAACATCCTCTATCGGCTATTCTTCAACATCCAAACCGTAGTTTGGATTCTACAGTTCTAAACAAATATAACTTGGCCGAAATCCTTTGGTAATCGTTCACGGATTTTCTGGAATTAATTGGTCGAACTCGTTTGGCAATCGTTCGCGGATTTTGAATATCGTTTCTGGAAATATTTGGTCGTTTCGGTTATAATGCCAACTAATCGTCGAAAGAAATCAAGCTCAAGGTTCGTTGATGTTAATGAAGAATCCCCTATTACCAAGCAAGTGCCTTTTGATGTCCTTAAGTGTCATGGTTCAGACTCGAATAGGGTTGATTATCATGGTAGTGACTCTAGTCTTAATTCGATGACAGAGGACGTAAAAAATCTTAGTTTAACGGAGAAGCAAAGGCTTGAATTATCAGGAAAAAGCGTTTTGCCTATAGCGCATGTTGTTGGTCTAGAACTACCAAAGGTTGAATTGAGTTATTTCGATGGACAACCAAGAGGATACTGGATATTTATAAGGCAATTTGAGACCTATGTAGCGTCAAGAGTCACTGATGATAGCCAACGTTTGCTCTATTTGATGCACTATTGTAAGGGCAAGGCGAAAAGAGCTATTGAGGGTTGTGTCATGATGGAAGCATCGTCTGGTTATAAAAGAGCAAGGGAAATTCTAAAACGTTTGTTCGGACAGGCGCATGTAATCGCTCGGGAGACTTTAGAGGACTTATTCGAAACTACAAATGTTGATTACAGTGATCCTGAGCAACTAACAAATCTGGCTATTAGGATGGAAAATTGTTCTATGGTTTTGAAACAGATGAAGTATACTGCCGATTTAAATTCTCTATTTACCTTAGAGAGAATAGTAGGACTCTTACCTCAAGCTATGCAAGCCCAGTGGGCGGATTGGGTGGATGAATTGACTGAAGATAATAGAGAACCAACCTTTGACGAGCTTACTCAATTTATAGCATCCCGCGCGAGGGTAGCTAATAGTAGGTTTGGACTGTTAGCGAAAAGTCCGAGAAAGGGACACAACTTGAAGACAAATTGTCACTGGCAATTGGAGCAGGAGAATAATTCGAAAGAGAGAGCTAAATGCAGTATGTGTTCCCTGGACCATGCTATTTATAAATGTCCAAATTTTTTAGCGCTTACCGTTCAAGAGAGATGGTCTCACGCGAAGGTTAATGGCATCTGTTTTGTCTGCCTTAGGCAAGGGCATAAAGTTAATGAATGTAAGATGACAAGGCTCTGTAAGGTCGACAGTTGCGAGAGGAGACATCACCCGCTGCTGCACACTGACTCGACAAGCAACGTCGTAAATAATAAGCCATCATGTCCGGAATATAGGAAAAGAGTTGTTAATCATACCAGTAAGATGCAGGCATTAGAGAACGAAAGACGTAAGCCTTATGACGTAGAGTTTACAGATGCTTATTCAAGTGATAAATCATTATCAGTAGACGACAAGGTGGCTATAAAGATTGTGGAAGGTGGCACGCGCTTCGGCGACGGTCATTTTGTAGTTTCCATACCTTGGAAAAAGATTCCAGATATGAAAGTGAATAATTATGAAGTAGCAAACCGTAGATTACAAGGTTTGAAGGGTATGTTGTCGAGGGATGTCAGTCTGCACATCAAGTATATCAAAAGTACTGAAAGTGATTTTACTAAGACTTATGCGGAGAGGGTCTTTGAAATATATCTGCAGTCTTATTATCATCCTCGATGGTATTTACCTCATCGTGCAGTATTAAACATGAAAAAACCAGATTTTAGAGTGGTCCTTGATTGTGCCGCCCAGATTGCAGGGGTTCCCCGAAATGATATGATTTATCAAGAACCCGATACCACCGCTGAGTTAATGTGTATATTATTAGGTTTTCGCAAGGAGGCAGTTGCAATCCCTGCAGATGTTGAAGAAATGTTCATGCAAGTGAATGTCCCCGAGTCTGATCGAAGAGCTTCAAGATTTCTGTGGTGGCAGGAGGGGGACATGTCGAGAGAACCGTCTGAGTTTCAAATGACAACTCATGCATTTGGTGCCACATCATCGCCCTTTCGTGCGAACCTTGCCTTGAATAAGACGGCCCAAATATTCTCTGACGATTATGATAGTTATGTCGTAAATACTGTCAAGAATAATTTCTGTGTTGATGATTGCTTGATATCTATTCCCACTTGTGATCAGGCAAAGAGTTGCGTTAAGCATATAAGTGAATTTAAGAACAGCAGTGAAGTAGTAAGCCATGATGATCTGAAAGGTTTATCGGTGATGATGCTTGATGGGTTACTCTGCGTTGGAGGTCGACTAAGATACTCAGATTCCCCAAATGCTTTTAAACATCCAGTAATTTTACCCAGTCGACACTTAGTGACGGAAATGATTATTAGACATTGTCCTAAAGAACAAGGACACATAGGAAGATCATTAGAAAAAGGGTATGGATATGTGTTTTCTTGTTTGCAAACATGGGCAGTACATATTGAAATGATGTGTAGTTTGATTACTGATTCATTTATAATGGCCTTATTACGTTGTATTGGAAGAAGAAGGAAACCTCCGGAGATTTACAGTGACAGTGCGTCAAGCTTCGTGTGGGCAGTTTCTGAGTTAAGGAAGTTTGTGCAACAGTCGAATCAGCAGAAGATAAATAGTGAATTGTCAGCGAGGCCCTCATCCAACAGCATGAGTGGAGTTTGGGGAAGAGTGACTAAGTCTATACCACGAGTGCTATTGTTGAACACCAGAGAGCAAGTGAAACAGGTCTCTTTGAAGCTTCGGATTAGTCTTTGTTGTTATTAATGTAGATAGGTCGAGTAGGCGTACTGTTGTAAGTCCTACTCGTTCCTATGGTGTGATATGTTATATAATGAACCATGACCGTAGGCATCGAGGTAGCTTGTGTGGTATGGAGGGATTTTGGGGGCCGGTGTAAGATCCATTTTGAAGGTTTTATGTGTTGGTGAAAATCCCTCCATGTATATACTTGTACTTTGTTCCTATTGATTCCCTTAGTTGTACATTGTTGTATTTTGATTACATTTGAGTTGTTAATACTTGTATTTTTTATTATAGTTTTGTTTTTTTTTTTACGCATGCACTAAGTTTGTGTTTCTTCCTGAACTGCATCTGTGTTGTTTTACTTGACACGTGTTCTTGGCGGTAGCCATATTGATTTGTTCCTCCTGTTGTGTGTGATCTATCCAGCCAGGATAGAATAACGTTGATTTGTTGTGATTGGTAATTTTTCTCATCTTCTATCAACTTCTTTATTATTGTAATTTAGATTTAATTGATTGAACAATCATTGGTTGAATAGCCGGGTGATAATATTTGTTTAGGTAATGATTTACATTAAATTTATTAAGAATTATAGAACCGCTAGTTACCCGATTACTTGTTCTGATTTCGACGGGAAAGGGCGCGTGTCTAACATCCTCTATCGGCTATTCTTCAACATCCAAACCGTAGTTTGGATTCTACAGTTAATTCTAACAACCTGTTCGTCACAGAGTATATTTGCTAGGTTAGGTATTATAGAACTTTTATACTTTTCCTTGCGTGCATGGATTTTAATATAATTACGTCTCGTTCTACCAGAAGATATACAAGGAGGAAGATAAGAGTGAAGGGGATGGCTAGTATCTGATAAAATAACACCTGCCAGGAGTTTGCATGATTTTAAATGTCTATCCACAACCATATTAATTATGACCTCGAAAGATTCACCACACATCTTGCCAACTGCCTTCTGCACTCTCCGCAAAACAGCAAAGTCTTTCCTCAAAAGCCCGGGAAAGAATAATGGAGAACAGCAAAGAATAATAGGTAATATGCAAGAATGAAAAAATTGTAAGAGTAAATGACGAGTAATCCCAAGAGCATGCAGTCTCTTTATGTAATAGGTCAGACGGAAAACTTTCTTTGATAACAATAAAACGTGGGAAGACCAAGACAGATCAGAGGAAAAGGTGACACCAAGGTAATTGACCTTCGACACTGAGTTTATCAAAGAGTCTCCGATGGTACAAGCATTATGGGATCTCAAAATGGTGTTTAGATGCCGTTCATGTCTCATGCTAAAGTTAACAGCTTGATATTTGGACGGATTAAGTATGAGACCATTACCAACAGACCAACAATCAATACGACACAAAAACTCATTCATTTCTATGGGATGTAAAGAGGAAGATATAGGAATACATACAGTGAGATCATCCGCATATTTCACAAAAGTGTGTTCTGTGGAAGATGGCAGATCATGCAGAAAAAAAGAGGATAGAAGAAGTGAAAGAACAGCTCCTTGTGGTACACCTTCATGAGACAGTAGAGACTCTGAACACTTTCCTCCAAACACAGTGTAATGTTCCCTTCCAGAGAGATAGGAACATAGCCAGTTGGTTATCCAGCTGTCAGTGTTGACGCTGATTAATTTGTTAGGTAGACGTTGTCTTGGTGTAGAGTCAAAAGCTGAAGTATAGTCCAGAAAAGCACATCGAACATATTTCTTACCCTTTTCTAAGTTGAACACTATGTTGTGATGCAGAACTGCAACAGCATCTAAAGTGCTTCTTTTGCGCTTGTATGCAAACTGGTATGGGTCAGTATGCTCTTTTGTCGCAGGCTGAAGTGGAAGTATTAATTACCTTGACGATTCCGAAAATGGGATATGAACTAATATGAAATATGATGCTTGCTCTTCAAAGTTTGGAAAATCACATATAATTGTTTCGTACTGCTCTTCTTGTGAATTCATGATGTTATACTTTGTCAAATTAGTACTAAAATTGAAGGTCGTACGTCTACGTACGAAATCAAAAGATGACTCAGTTTCTCGCCGTAATTAGATTATATATAGTTTACATTTTCTCCCAGTTATTCAGGGAAAAAGTGATGGATGAGACATGGTTTGAAAACAATAAACTGAATACGCTGACTGAGAAAAACACTCAGCTATTTCGTAGGTTAGTTATGAAATAACGATAATAAATTCAGAGGCATGTTTAATACTTATAAACACCTAATAGTATGTTTAGAACAAATTTCGGATAAAAGACTTGTTATTAACACAATGTTGTTTCTACGACCATTTATTTGTTATGGAAACCATTGATGGTGAGACTATAATTAATGGACGACCTTTAGCAACGATAGGCTAACCTTGAGATTGTCTACCTACATACTAGGGCTAACTGAGGGTTATAAAGCAGTTTAAAGAATAAGGATTATGATTTACAGTTCATGGTTTAGGTTAGGAATTAGATTTAGGGTTTTAATCACGAACTGACATAAATTATAATGCCGAAATTCTATTTGGCCGAATAGGTGAATGAATTTCGCGGGAAAATCTAAGACTTGTTGACGTAAATCTGATTGGTTCGTCCATAAATCATAGTCTCGCCGACAATTATATAGATACAAAATTGTTAGCTTTCATGAATCGCTAACCCAATTTTCCGGTTCTCGATAAAAGATCGCGAGGCCTTGAATTGGTCATAAATGATTAAAGCTATTTAAAAAGACGCCAAATGTCAGTTAAAAACCAACTGATGGTAGTTGAACTTTTCCAACTCACACTTGTTTATAAGAAAAGAGAATTATTATTACTCGTACCTCCGACCATTTATCGAACCCATTAGCTATGCAATCCACACACTCTTTTAATTTTTCGTACTCATCCTGAAAACTATAACATTTATCATTCTATTCTCTAAGCAGATCGTTCTATTCATTCTTTTTTAATTACATTTTTACCTTGTCAGTTATTTGCTTATCAGCCTTGAATTTTTATATGAGCGTATGCGTGTGCATTTCTTATGCGACTCATCACATATCTGTAACTTCTTTTTGTCGGTCTATAAATATTTATTCACGCTTAATTAAGTTGGCTCACTTGCTTTCTCTATCGCTTCATTTTGTTTTGCTTCGCTTCACGATTAACGATTGCACGAAACATACGCATTCAAAACTTCATTCTCATATTTGACTTATTTAATTCCGTTATTCACCAACGCAATTTAAGTCTATGGTTATATACGAGGTTTGTCGACATTTATATTTCTATAACAAGCAGCAAACGATCTAACTAAAGTTAGATCCCGGGCCTGTAAAGACCAACTAGATCATTTTTAATCCGTACTTTTTTAAGCTCTTAAACAAACGATTTACTTCAGTATGGGGTAGTATGGGCTTTAGGCCATTCATATCGTTAAATAGACAGTAATCAATCGATCAAACGGAGTATAAGTAGAAGTTACACAAACAATGATAAATTCGATCGAAACATTCCTTTTTGACCACATTTTGTGTATATAAATCAATTAATTTGGGTTGAAAATTTTGGGCCTGGATGTCCTGTAGCTAACTACTTATCGATTTGACTGAGTTATCCACTATATCACAATACCTTGTGTTAGTAAATTGTGAGGTATAAAGTTAGGAGAAGTGTTTTGGTTTGCCCAGTTTGGCATATTATGCTTTGAGAGTCTTATGAAGGCTCAAATCGCTCAATCCAAATTTAAACAAGTCTTGTGAGTCCTGATTTATATGATGTTGCAATGGAAGTTTAACTATTGAAAGGCCTTTTTCACATTTTACAAGCCAAACAGTTGAGTATTCTAGTTCACTTTGAGCTTATGCCATTAGATATTTACTCTACCATATTAAACGAAGTTTTTAGATCCATAGCCATTGTCAAGCTGTCAGAACGTTTGTGGTGACCTATTGAAGATAAAAATAATTACAAATAATTGTGTTACTATGAAGAATTAACACCCGGGAGCTATCGATTTTCATTTGAAGCCATTAAATCAAAGTGAAACCCTAAAATTCATGTTTGATATAGTCTCTGAAGATCGTTAACCAATATTCTGTCTATCGTATACAAATTTATTACTGTTACCAAGCCTTTGGCTGCTCTTTTTCAGTACAAAGTCAATTGGTTTTCAACAGTTGCCTTGTAAAGTTGTCTATATTTTGTACTATATCCCACTTATGTACACAATCAGAGATGCCGTCTTCAGGAATCATATAAATATTTCAGTGCTTATTATTGCGAAATGATTTTTCTTATTTAATATCTCACTTTAGATGAATTGCCAGGCAATCATATGAATTACATTTTTTACATTTTAAACGCAGAATATCAAGACTTGAAGAATCTCTAAATTCGCTGGGGAATATTAAACCAGTTGAAAGAACACAGTATGAACTGAGCAACAAAGTCAATGGAAGTATCTTAAAAGACAAAGTAATTACAGTTATGAATTCTTTCATCATTCTGGTTGTATTTAGTTAAACAAATTAAGTTCTGTTTTCGACCAGACACCATAAATTTTCCAGATTATAGACAGAATAATACTGCTTTTGGAAACTTTAACCACCTGAAAAAAATTAAAATGTCATTCACTAGATTCAGTCAAAACTGCTCAGTCTTTATGGACTCAACGCACGATGTTAAAGTTTGACTATCCATTCTTAATTGATAGCAATCAAAAATCCAAAAATGGAAAGTAGCGCCTAGTGAAAACAAGTTTTTTAAGCGAATCAAATCTTCCATTAAAAATTCATTTAAATTTAAATGAAAGTTTCTTAACTGAAGTATAGATGAACTAGCATGAGACTCGCGCAGATGTGTGACACTCTGTGTTCAATAATAAATCTTGTTTTTCAAGATTTTAAATGAAAAGGTTGCTTTGCTTCTGTACAGACGGATTCTTACCTGTATAGGTTTGCTAAAACGTACAAATTTGAAGAGAAATGCAGACTTTTTGAATGTAATCTAAATTTCAGTCGCCGTTTTCGGATATTTCTAGCAAAAGACTAAAAATACGAAATTAAAAATTTAAGTCAACTACTCCCGTTTTGATAATGTAGTACCGTTTCTTTATCTTTGATATTCATATTGTGACATTTCTAAGAGTATGAAACTAACACAACTTCATCAATAATATTTAATAATAGGAATAACTTTTTGATGCCAATGATGTTGGACACCATTATATTTCTGTAGGAAACGACATTATTAAAGGGAAAATTTTTTTGAATATAACTATTTCATAATGTAATTAAAATTCTTATAATCAGATTAATAACCTTATTTCTAGCTGTGTTCAAAGCCTAGTTAAGAAACTTTTAAACGAAAAATAAGTCTTTTGTGTAGAGTGAATATAGTTACGCGAATTTTTAATAAGTAATTTAAACTTTGTTTCCAAACTTTTCAACATTTGGTTTAGCCAAACTATATATCGCTTTACTTACTATCGTTACAATAAATGGTTAATAATTTCTATACAAGTAAAATTTATTGTTTCACATTAATCTAATAAAATTCTATCCAGGAAAGAAATAAAGTATTTTAAGCTGACGTAATACATATGTAGCCGTTTGTAACATGAGAATCTGGCTTTCTTTATGAAAATCATTGCTCTATATTAACGTTGTTTCAGAAATGTTTACGTGTTCAAATTACCTTACTAAGACTGAGTTATATGCTCGATAATTGATTTCAAGGTGAATAAATGGGAAAATTTTAAACACTACATTTAACAAATAATACTATTTTAACGATAATTAAAACTTTTTGACTGTGGTTGTAAAGTATTGAACAAGGAAAAAGAATATATAAGGTCAAAAATTTCATCGACGGGCATATAGAAAACAATCTAAGATAATATCAACTAACAGTGGAAGGTATCTTTTGACGAAACCTCATAACTCAGTTCCGATTATACCTAATTAATAAATGTTAGTTATTTTCATGGAATAGATAGAATGTGGTTAGCAGTAGATTTCAGGAGGCACGTTTAGTCCTCTTCGTCCCTCGTCAGCTAGATATGTTAGTGTTATAGAGTTGATGTTCAAACTGGGACTGAACCCTGTACCTTTCATTTTGACTGATCTACAAGTTGTTCACTAAGCTACCGAACCCTGATGGCTACTAGCCTGTTCAACGAGTATGAACTGTAATGCTTTCAGTTATCATTTTGTTTACATTCCTGACTGGAGTTTGATCAGTCTTACTCGGCGTATATGCATTCTGTATGCATCGCTTCTGTGTAATTGTTATTTCATAAGTTTTTACAGAATAAATGAAATGTAGGCAGCAATGGGATAAGGTAAAACATGCATCCAGAGTTCTACTCCAGGCAATGTAAATAAAATCCTATGAAAACTTGTGTCAATTAGGTAATACCGAGGATATTCGCCAAAAGTTATTAAGTACATCGACTAAAAGTGGTCAAAATTCAGTCAAGAATGCCAACAACGGAATGATTCAGACCATTACAAATTAAGCTAAATATTGACTGTATGATAGTGAGTAGAAGATTCAGAAATCTAATCACTGTACTTGAATTACCTATGAATATCTTGATCATAGCCAAATTGAAGGTTTGTTAATTAGTGAGTCTTGAGAACCAATGAAAAGTCTGGCATAAAATCAAAACTGGCAATCCCTAATTTTCAAAAAACAGTCCATTGGCATAAAATTATGAAACCGACTGCGTTCAAACATTCAATTAATCTCTAGACCTCTAAACTAAAACCAAATAGTAGTTGAGCCGTAATTGTCGTACCTTTACAAACGCATGAACAGCTCATAGAAAATGTACCAACACAAACAGTCATTTTGGAAACCTTGGATTATAAAAAATAAGGGTAGGTACAAAAAGGGTGACAAATGCCGTTCATCAGTGCAAGCAGATAAATGCTTGTAAAAATAATCCAAGTTGTTTAATCGGGAATCACACACAGTCTTCACTGACTATAATTTCCTTGAGATATTTTGATTTTTTTGAAACATGACAAATAACAGAAAAATGATTAGCCGATAGCGAATACATGACATCCTTAAAAAAAACAATACCGATTGATTTATTGTTACAATTGTTGTTTAATTTAATTTAACTTCAATGTAACCCTGTGGACTCAAACGTTAATTTAAATTGATATATAAACTTTTATACGGTTATCTAAACCGAAAATTTAATAAAACCTTGATATTCCAGGTAATTTACCAATAAATTCGGTCATTACAAATGGATCTACAAAACAAATTAGCTGTAATTTGTCAACATTAAATATGTATAGTCTTTAAACTAGTCAGTTATATTTTAAATCATTATTTATCTGTATACATTTATAGTGGTTGGCAGTTTCTTAACTTAAATATTAAAAATGTTCAGTTATATTATCGATACCCAAGAGGTAAAAAGCTAACTAAATGTGTTCATACAATTTTCTTTTGCTTAATATTTAACATTTAAACACACTTTTGATGAACATATGTTCCGATAGAACAATGAGAAGACGGAGTTAATCCGAAAAATGTGATGTATTTGCGCTATACATTTCGAACAATCTGGTTACACATATACTTATCAGGGCATTTTCTATGAAAATTAATAAAGGTCAAATAAATGAAAGTTCAAAGGGGAGAGAAACAATTGTACATCGTATAGAAAAATAAGAAATGGTTGCGTTATCCTAGGCCATATAATGACCAAGGTAAATTCAAGGTTACGACAAATTGTTTTTGTACACATCAGGAGAGTTTAAATTTACAAAGTCAAGGCTTCATCAAATTATCCAAATATGAACATATTTTACAAAAATTAATCAGCATTTATAATCAAGGAGAAAATATTTACTGAATATTTAGTCTTCCTCAGTTTACATTTTGTTTAAAGGTACATGTGCACCTACTTCATATCATGTGCCAAAATTTTAAACTCCATCAACAATGTGTGCAAAAATTAGTCGTTTATGACAACAAAAACTTACTATTGATATTGATTCTTTTTGGTGTATACAAGATTCAATGTTAACATTGTTTAGTATCATACCTGAAACTATCACTATAGTAACCGTAACACTAGTGATAATACACATAAAATTAATCGAATTCTATGAAAAAAGCTGGCGAAGAAGAAATAATGATATAAAAAGTCATATTATTATTATTTAAGGTCATTATTATACGATGTGGAATTTCGAATCGAAATTTTTAAAAAATTTCGAATAATCAAACTATTATTTAAAAGTTTCGAAAACTACTAGACAATGAAATTTGTCACGCCTTTTTTAAAAACTATTTTATGATAAACTAGAAGCAGTTCAGTTTAAAATAAACAAGCTTTCTCATGGTCATTTAGAAAAATACAATAAAATACGATTGATTGATGATAAATTTATGAAAAAGTAATTTTCGGTTTGAAGCTGCAAAATGTGCATATTCTGTCCGATTTCGTTACTTTGTTTTTGCGATATACACAAGTAAGTTGTATAACAAAAATAAAGAAGAAAGAATTGTATTTCTGACGTTTCGTCACTTCATATAAGTCACTTCTACTCATCAAGTTATAACAAACATATTTATTAATAACTGTCTACCTAATTTTCAATGTATTTGAATCTATCATGTTCACAACTTGGTTTCGATACGTAGAAACTAATCTTATTTATTTATGTAATTTTTTAGTACAAATGTATTTAAGTACGTATATTGGTAGGAAAATAAAATTATTCGAGTCATACAAACTTTAAAAAAAGTAGGCTAGAATTTCATTATTGCAAAAACATTTCAACATTTCTTTTTACTCACAATAAAACATTTATCAAACAATTATTTCATTTAATTTATTTCGTCGAATATGGTTCATTTGAGAAAAAATACATGACTTGTTTTATGTTGATATTGAGTTCAGAAAATCTACAACGATTTCACGATAAAAAAACACCAAATGGATGATAAATAGACTTCATTTATTCATCATACATTTTCATAAAAATAATTAATCTAAAGTGTTTAGTAAATTAAAACCAGTTTCTGTTTCTTATCTAATTTAAGTTCATTTGTAATTAGCTGTGGCAAACAAGAGAAACACTTGTAAAATGACCTGGTTAATAATTAGGAATGAAACCTTGTCAATTGTCGTGTTTCATAGCTGAACATGGGGACTGGAAACACACCACTGGACTGACTACTTTCTAAATCTTCTACAAAGTAGAAGTCACTAGACTTTGGTTTAATATAAATGAATATATCTATGAAATTTCAAACCAATCAAGGCAATTTATAAGTTAGTGATCACAATGAAATGGATGATATTTTAATTGGTCCCTGAAAATTTTATCACAAGTAATTGTACTTGCAATTTGTCCAGGGATTTACGGAAGTAATAATTTTAACTTTTCTTAAATTATATTTGTTTTCAGTACTCTTCGTTTCTGCTCCATGATTCGCCTGATCAGAGGATATTTGGGGATCAGAAAAATCTATATTACAATTTAGAAACAATAAGTATTGATAAACGTTTAGAAGCTATGGAAAAGAAATTGCGTAATCTCTTTGTTGGATCAAATACGTCAGCTTCATCAGATGTTTTGAATAAATATGCAGTAAAAATCGTTACAGAAACTTACCATCCAATTACAACATTCAGTCAACACTGTGCAGAGTGTTGTAAAAGTACAAAACAAATATCCTCAAGATGGAATGATTGTTTACACTTAGATCTAAATGAATTGCGATCTTGTAGTCATTGTTTAAATCATTCAGCTCGTAGTAATTGTACAGTTCAAACGGTGGATATTCTCAAAAAATGTAAAATTTTTATGTCACATTTTAAAGTTTCATACTATTTTAATGCTTTAATGTTTCATCTCATGTAAAATAATGAATTAACATAGATTGTTTTTCTTAAAATTTTTTTAATTAACATAGTTTACATGAATAGTGTTTAACTACAATAGATGTTGGTAGGTGGTCTATGCTCCTCTACGAGGGGTAATAGACAGTATCTATCATTTACAATAGGTAATTTAAAGTCACTTAGTTTATTTATCTACATTGGATCAACTCTTAACCATTAGATAATAATAATAAAGCATGATATCGGTTAACGAATAAAATATTTCATAATTATTTATTATTGTTTACATCATGTTATATTGAGTTATCTATTTAAAAATGAAATAAAATTTCAATTTATAATTATATATTACTTAAAATGAAAATTTCTCTTTAATATTTAAGTGATTTCATATAAAGTTAAATCAACAAAAAAAACTCATTTATTCAGAAAAACAATCTAAACTTTAAGTTAATGATAATTGAGACCAAAACAAAATTTCTTTTAAACATCCAACACTAAAAAACAAAAAAATAAATTGCTGAGAAGTCCCATATTAGGACGAAACGGCTGTCTAGTGCTTCCAGGTTTTCCATGGTGGTCTAGCTTCAATTGACTCATGATTTCAACTATTGAAAAAAATTGATTGGTGAAATAAGTATCCATATTATGAGTTAATGGCGAATGGTTTTTTTTAATAAACCAGGACAATTTATACGAAAATTATTCAAAATTTAAATTAACAGTTAAATAGAAATAGGGAGAATCACTAGTATTTAAAAAATGACATTAATGAGTTAAAAGAACTTTTCGTTTCTATTTCTAACAAAAATATAAGTTCTCAGTATGCAGTTGTCGAAATCGTGAACTGACCAATGTTTGACCATCATTGAAAACCTGGCAGCACTGAATGACCATTTCATTCTAGTGTGGAACTCCTCAGCAGTACGCATTCATGATTCCGTATATAGGACTAGAAACCCGAGGACTTTAGAAGGTGGGCTTTAACACTGTTAGATCCCGGGTCAGTAGTCCAGAAGTTAAGTGTTCATGACAGACCGAAGATTATGGGTTCAAGTCCCGCGTGCACGATCGCGAGTGCTCACTGTTCAGAAATCGCATACTAAGTTTAATCTTTCGTTCAGTGCTTCTAGGTATTCAGTGGTGGACTAACACTGAACGGCTTATGATTTCAAACAAATATTAACGCTGAAAGAAAATTAATTCTAAACATTTATACGAGTTTACTAAAAACTAATAAGTTTCATGTAAAATATCGTTCCAATAAATTCACCCAAAAGTTATATTCTTGTATTCGTCTATGAAATTTAACGTTTGGTTCTCATAAAATATATCAAGGAAACAATCTTTCATACTACTGATAATAGTACTACTAGTAAAAACCTAAATCATAGAACTTTTATAATAAAAGGATAGATTTTGTAAGATTCCACAGTGCTTACACAAAGCAGATGTGTATATGGCAAAAAAAATCAATACAAAACTAAAGAATGAATAGTATAATGTAGAGAACATATTTTAGTTCAGATAATTATGTTTCACTTGGATTTAATAAACATACTGTGAAGTAAATTTTGAAATCAAAGTTTAAGAAAGCAAACATCGGAGTGAATATAACTATTTTCATAAGCAATAATTAAGGTATATGTTATAACAAGTGTCATACTCGACTTTTTATCATTTAATAATAATGTACTGATTGAATAGTATCATTTGGTTTAAAATGTATACTATAGTTGAAAGTTGGGAAAGATTGATACGACACTATGATATTAATGTTTCATACTTGTTTACACTTATTACCATATGTAGTACGTAATATTAGCGTTTACTTGGAAGCAGGAGCGATCTGAAACAAAAACACAACAATTAGAACGCAGAGTACTAGCACGACAAATATATATTTGAAAATTTGAAAGACGCGGTTCGAGTACACAAAAGAGAAAACTTATTACAAAATAATTTTATCCATCGTTCTGTAGGTTCGGCTTACGTAGAACTTGTTTCTCTTCTTCCAGTACATTTACTCTTTGTTGCCCTGCAATAAGAAAAAGAGATTCGCATTAGTAACGTTACATATAATGATTTTTGCTACTGTTACACATATCCATTTACGTAATATATTATTATTATTATTATTATATGAAATATATAAATAAACACACTCATGAGAATTTGATACCAATAATATCTTTAATAAATTTAATATCTAATTACTTTTCATTCTTTATACAGGTCAATATATTGATAAATCAGTTCAAACATTATGTAATGAATCAACAACTATTGTTACATATCCAAAATACTTTAATGAAAAAGCAACAATTACAAATGAAAATCAAATTATTTCAAAATTGCAAATGAATAATCAATTAACTTCATTTATGTAATAATATCCATTTTAATTTAATTGATTTTTTTCATAGTTTCCCCCCTAATAATCATTCACATATTAATCAATCAATAATCGATCGAAACGGTATTTCAAAAGATAATGATGATGATAATGAATCTGTATCTAAAGTAATTTTTTTATAAATTTTTATTAATTAAGTGAATATCAATTTTTTTTTTAATAATTAGTTTACATCTAGTGAATGCCTTGATATTATTGTAACACCCGATTTTGAGATGGATAGATTGAAACAAACTGATTATTTAAAAGTTCAATTAAATAATAATCAACATATTGGTTTGGATCAAATAAGACAAACACAAAGTGTAAGTAGAAAATTTTGATATATAAAGTTTATCTGGCAATACTTTTAATAATTTGAAATAGTCAATATATATATATTACGGAAACTGGGAACCTTCCTACAATCTTATCCATCATTCTAAAGACCCTTTTGCATATTTTTTTTAATACACTCGTCTGAAATTCTAAGGCCTGTTTTAAATTCACTGTCATTTGTTTAGATATGATTAATTATCTATATGACTAGAATATTTTTAAGTAATAGTGATACATTAAAATGATGATGATGAAATCAGTCATGATAGTTTCTACAATTGATTAATCACTGCTCAGTGATCAATGTCATATATGTCTATTACTTTTCAGTGTTGCTTAAGTTGTAATGTGGTCATCAGTATATATGTGACTCACCATCGTATGAACTATGTTAAGATGTACTGTGACGGTCAAAGTTAGTCGACAGTATATTTGTATTTCTTTATTTTATTTACAAATTTGAGTATATCGCTTAAAAACATACTTAGTCATCTGTGTAGAATGTCAGGTAAGACAACTAATTGGAATATGATTAGTTGAGTGTTGGATATAGTGGGACATGATTAAAATTCATGGTCTATAACTTAACTTACACAAAATTGGTAAAACATTTCACATCTATCTGAATGTACCATTCAAATTTGCTTGAACTATGTGTTTACCTTCTAGTCTTTTGAAGGACTTGGTTAATTCGTCTCTTATTTTATGGGGTCTCTGATTTTTTTCTTCTCTGTTTTATGTATTCTACTGATTATATTAGTGGTTTTAGCCGGAACCAATGTGATGTGTAAAAGGGCTATATTGATATAGATAACTTATAAAAACAAAAATATATGCTTGAAAATTTTAATCGATCAGTGCTCGGAGATTTGGTTGATTTCCTTTGATATCCAACTAGAAAAAACTTAAAAACTACAGAAGACTAAAGATTACTTTCCTCCTTCCGAAGGCTAAATTGTGCCATGATCACCCTGAAACCAAAATCTTATGCGATTAATCTCACCCAAAGTCACAATTAAACACTGCTAACCAGCCTAAATCTATAATGAAACAGCTTCTTATAACTCTTTGTTTCCCAATTATTTTCTAGTCCGCTGTACAAATTTCTCCCAATATTTGGTTAGTCACTATGTTATTCAGTATCTTGTTCCGCTGACATGGTATAGTATGATATAGTAATGACAAGAGCTATTTACAAATAAATATTTCACTGTTAAAATGATTTAGTGATATAATCTATTCGTGTTAAAGATTGAATCACATGTATGTTCAGATGCATACCAAAGGATTTTATTAACCTATAGTATTAGATAGCTTAGTAACAAGGCTTTTATTACCATGATCAATCACATTCACATGGCAGACATTGAGAAAAGTAGTGGATTTATACGTAGCTCCTTCGTTGACATAACACATCCTAATGATTATAATCTAAACTACCTATTCATACAGTGGTCACAATTGATTCCCCATCTATAAACAAGATAGATTATCTTATCAGGAGACAACGAAGTGTAATTTTTTATTTTCCACAGAATTATCTGAGGGGTTTACTCTGCCTTTTACTCAATAAATGATGTGGATATTAAACTTTACGACAATCGTCTGCTAATTTGTTTTTTCAATCTGAGTTTTCAAGTTCTTTTTATATAAGTCTCGTGCCTACTTCTTTCATACACAAAAGTAGTGAGTGATAGTGTACAGTATTATTTATGAATAGATATTGTAAACGAAGTAGAAACCACCAAATTTCGGCAAAATAGCAATTATACGTAACTAGAAGTATCATAAATCGACGCATCTTTCGCGTTACTGAAATACTTTAAATTAATAAACTATTTACATGTATTTTGTTTTAGTTCGAATCTGGATTGAACAATGAAGAAAATTATATTGATATTGATAAAATTCCTGCCACTTCAAGATCATATAAACAAAACAAAACTTTCGAACCTAACTTTCATTATGGAACTATGGAACCGAGTATTCACAATTCTCGAAAACAATCTACATTAGAATCGTCTTTCGAAACAATATATGATCAAACAAAATTGTGCTATAAACTTTAATACGTAAAAGTAAGATGTATTTTGATATAACACGATTATGCGACCACTAGATTTAAAAAACTTGATGGAACGATAGTACTATTTTTACTAATAAAAATACCTAATCTCTTGATCAAAATTTTTAATTCAGTGGATATTTACAATATCAACACTTATTTAGTTATTGCAATGGTCAACAAAGAGAAGACAGGTGCTGCTTCAATGGTAGTTGTCCCCTTTAATATTCTGCCCGACAAAGTCTTCAAAATACTTAACGATCAAAACACTGATGATTTAATGTGTACTAGTGTGAAAATAAAAGTCGGAGATTTACATAGTATACTAGTAACAGCGAGCGATTCGAAAGTGGAGGGATGACAAGCAATTATTGACTAGCAAGAAAAACAAACAAACCTACATTCGATACGTTAATAATAAACATACTCATGGGAAACCTCGGTATATAATAGTCAGATTATAAGTTTGATCGAGAGACGCAATAAATCTGCACCGTGTTCGACACCCGTATGATGAAATAATTTCAAAAAATCCTAACTGGTAACTATACACTGGTCAGCAACAAGAAACTTAGAATCCTGGGAAATGTGCAGGAGTAATAGCATAGTGAACACTAGGAAACCTTATACCATTTTTTTACTAAACCTTAATGTTGTAGATATTTAAATTATTGGCTGTCAGTACCATGTAGAATATTTTACTTAACTAAACATTTATACCATAGTTTCGGAGTAATAGACAAATCTTTCCATTGTTTTCCTTTCATTTTAGGTTTATTGGGAATTTGTAATTTTCACAGCCAATCAAGTATCGACGATTATTTGAACAGAAATTATCCAAGAAAAATAAAATAAAAGTTATTCTTGAACAATAGTTTTTTTTAAATATTTGACTCGAAATAGTCTATTTCTTGCAAGAAAATGATAAACTCAGTGCTATGCTGATGACTATGGGAATTTTCAATATTTAGTGATGTACTATTGACATAACTCCGCCTGTAGCTCTTCTGCCGGTCCCAAGCCTGGGTAAAGGAGTAGGAGTGGGATGATGTTATCAACTCCATCCCGTAGAAAACAGACTTGCTAAGAAAACGCTAACCAGATTAAACAAATTAAACCATTTAAACTCTGCCCCCGGATTTAAATGGAGAATTATAACGCTTCATAATGAAAGCCGAGATTCTTCGGACGTCACGCGGCCGATGTCCCTTCTAACAACCAGGTCAACAATTTTTTTAGGTACATGGAACGTCCGGACAACGTGAGAGACCGGGAGGGCCAATCAAATAGCAACGGAAATGTGGAAATACAAATTATCGGTACTCGGAATTACCGAAACCCAGTGAACCCAAGCTGGACAGAAAAGGTTAGGTACAGGAGAGATGCTGCTGGAATCCGGTCACGAATAGAAAAATGCTCCACATACTCCGGAAGTTGTTCTAATGCTGTGCAAAAAGCACGTAATGCGCTTATAGGATTGGAATCTCACGGATCAAGGATCATCAAAGTATCCTTCAAAACAAAGAGTCAGTCAGCTACAACGTAGGACCAGACACATATATGCATCGATCGAAGTTGTCATGAGACAACTATATGACACGACGAAGAAACTGTTAGGGAAATACAGAAAACCAGAGAGGCCGGCCAAGGAAAATCACCGAGATTCGAGGACAGAGGGGTGGAACATTTTGAGAAACTCTTGAATAGGTCAGCTCCATTGAGTCCACCGGATATCGAGGCAGCACCTACAGACCTTCTCACAGATGTCACTCCACCAACTACGGAGAAAATAGGGATGGCCATCAGACAAATCAAGAGCGGGAAAGCAACAGGATCTGACAATATACCAGCTGAAGCTCCCAAGTCAGACGTAGAAGTAACTGCAGGTATGCTTCACGTTCTGTTTGGGAAGATTTGGGAGGAAGTACAAATGCCGATGGACTGGAATTAAAGACACCTTATCAAGACACTAAATAAAGATCCAAGGAAGTGTGAGAACTACAGAGGCATCACACTACTGTTAGTACCAGAAAAAGTTTCCGACAGTGTTTCCGAACCGGATAAAAATTTAGTAGACGCCCAACTTCCAGACCAACAAGCAAGATTCTGTAAGGATCGATCGTGCACAGACCAAGTCGCGACACTCTGGATCATCGTTGAACAATCAGTTGAGTGGAACTAGTCACTATACATCAACTTTATTGACTATGAGAAGGCGTTTGACGGTGTGGATAGGAGAATTTTATGGAAACTTCTTCGACATTGTGGACCACCTGAGAAGATCGTCAACACCATCCGAAATTCATACGACGGACTACAGTTCCAAGTCGCGCATGGAGGACAGATGCATTCCAAGTGAGGACTGTAGTCAGACAAGGCTGTGTACTCTCCCCCTTCCTCTTTCTTCTGGTGGTCGACTGGATTATGAAGACCTCGACATTCGAGGGAAAACAGAGAATAAAATGTACAGCTCGGAATCAATTAGAAAATTTGGACTTCGCAGACGACCTCTCCCTTCTATCCCATACATACGAACAAATGCAGATGGAGGAAGCTAGTGTAGTAGCAATCTCTGCATCAGTAGGCCTCAATATACACAAAGAAAAAAGCAAGTTTCTCAAATACAAGGTGGGGAACACCAACCAGTCACACTTGATGGAAAAGCTCTGAGAAGCATAATCAATAAACATGAGGATCCGATGCAGACCCAAAAGGCGAGGACTGGCTAAACAAGGGCCACATCCCTACAATTGAAGAACAGGTGGAACTCAAAACAACTGTCAACCAATATCAAAGTCACAATCTTCAATACGAACGTCAAGACAATCCTACCGTACAGAGCTGAAACTTGGAGAGCCACTACAACCATCATCAAAGAAGTACAGATATTTACAAACAACTGTCTACCCAAGATATTCAATATCCGTTGACCGGATACCATCGGCAACAGCCTTCTATGAGAGAGGACGAACCAGCCTCCAGATGAAGAGGAAATTAGGAAAGGGTGTTGGAAGTGGATAGGACATACATTGTGGAAATCACCAGACTGCATCATGATGCAAACTCTAGCTTGGAATCCTGAGAGGAAACGGAAATGAGGAAGACTGAAGAACACACTGTTTCGGGAATTAAAAGCAAACATGAAAAGGATTGCCCAGGACAGGGTCCGATGGAGAGTGCCGGTGGTTGGCCTATGCTCCTCCACGATAGGTAACAGGCGTAAGGAAACTATTGACAGATTAAAAATAAATATCTAAAAAGATCCGCCGTTACGACCTTCAGGTGATATAAACAAAGATAACATCTAATTGTGAAACTTTGGAGGTTAATTTGAATGAACATATGCGCAAAATCTGTATTCAACGGCTACACAAGTTATGAATAACGAAGAAAACAGGTCCTTAATTATAAGTCATTAAATAGAAAATAGCGAGCATAAATGTGTTGTAATTGTGATGTTTCAAAAGAGAGTTAAATAATGTACAAATAAGTATGTATGGAAATGATGTTCACTTTGGGATGCAGGTACATCTAGCTGACGAGTCCCGAATAGGACGTGCTAGCCACGATCCATATTTTCAATTTAAATCTTTTAAAATACACGTATCTGATCAGCTACAGTCAACTATACGCTATATCAAATAGTATGAAACCATTGATTTGTGGTATACCATTTTCAGTGAATATCAACTCGTTTATATATTTGTGTCTGAAAACTGACGCATCTTACACTCTACTAAAAATACTAAGCAAAAAACAAACGATTCATTAATAGCTAATAAGGGCGGCCTGCTTGAGCATCTGGGCTACCTGTTCCTGCCATCTAGATACTTCAACAAGTTACCTATTTTTGTTTGTTTTAATATAACATTATGTTTATTAATCGCATAGCCTATTCTACTGCGTTTCTGAAAAGTGTACAACCTTTCGATGTCAATGTTACAAAAAACTCAATAAGAGACAATGTGGTTACTGGCAATATACAACGAAAATAATGCACATTACTCAAATGTTAATTTACTGAACTGCTAACATATAACTGGCGATCACTCACTATTTATCGCCAGGACCGACCAAGAAGAAAGAAACGGAAACATGTTGAAATACTATGCGCTGAGAATTCTATATTGTACCAAAAATATAATATTGAATAAAGCTGATAATAATAATAACATATGTGAATTTATTGAAGACCATGATGATTAATGCAAACACGGATAATTATTGTTTGGTTTATTAAATTACTAAGTTTGATTATTTCAATGAATACAAAAGATTGTTTTCGTCAGAAAAAATTTATTTAAACTATATAAACATCTCATATACAATAATTCAGTAAAAAAATTACAGACCACCGGCAAAAAGACTGCCCATAAATTCAGGATTCGAAACAGCTGAGAAGCCAAGACATCCTTCAGGCGGTGTACGACTAGAATGAGCAAGTTTTTCTTTGATTTCATCTTCTGTAAGCTTTTGACGTCGATTCAATCGGACTGGTTTTCTTTCAGTAAATCTAGAACGACGGAAAATTTAACTAAGATTTTCTACTGGACATAAGATACTAAAATAGAATTGGATTAGACAGGTAGAGAACTTAAGGATCATGTGAATATTACTAAGTTTCCATGTCTTTTAATGTATCTGACAATGGGATGTTAGTGTTAATGATCGTTTGCAAAATTATTTTGAAAGCTTAATGGTAAACAGTGTTAATTTGTGATTGTCTACGGCTATAAGAACAGTTCTGGGAAAAATATGAGGTTACATTCCAGATCTATTTATCTGTATCAATATGCTTAACTCCCAAATGAAAGAAAAACACTTTTGCTGAGCATTTACAGACAATTTAAAAAGTAAATATTAAGTTAATGATCAGTATATAGAAGCACAGTACATAGGGCTCAACGTTAAACAATTTGTAGGACTTCATATGTTTAGTTTGGTTTACCAATAATTTAGTGAGGGATTTCAAAAGGTTGGCGGATGGTAATATTTGATTATGGGGTATGAAAAACGAGGTTATGCTCCCAATGAAAAGCCAATAATAAGCGTTCCCCGAACTCATTGCAAGTATTACCAATATATTCCTCTGACAATATATAAAACTTTAGTAAGACACTGGGAAGAGTCCAATACCGACCTACACTTTCGCTTATAAGTAAACATGACCGGCGAGTCAGGTTTTCAACCCTGAGAAATATTGTACACATTTATGACAGAATTGAACCAAAACATTTCTTGAATAAGTTCTATTTGTGGCACTGGAGCAGCTTCCACCAATAGCGTGTTTGGTGATATAGGGACCGAGTGGATTGTTAAAGCTCACTTTATGAAATGGAGTCACGATGTGGAGGATAATCATATTATATGTTATCAATCAAGAATTCATGAAAGCACTCTAAACGACTGACAATTTATTTGCTTCAGACGTAAAATACAGCTAAGAATTAGAACCCATGGGGGACCTAACGTAACTTTCCTTTTATTTAAATTTAAATAGCCGGAATAAATGAACAAAAAAGCTCCGTACTAACTAAAAGTTTAGTGATTTACTTAACCACATTTTGGTATTTTTGATGTGTTATTGGATTAACTAACGCTTAGAAATAATAATATGCATTATTTTCCCTTTGATATCTCTACCCTTAATTACATAAATCATACTGTGTGCCACAGTTAACATTCCTTATAACCAGATGAAACAGCAAATTATTTGAAGTAGGAAATTTTTCTCGGTGTACATAACTGTAATGAATCCATGAAGAAGAATTTATCATACATAACTTCAGAAATTTGTTGACAAACAATAAAAAAGATGGCAAAAAATAAGTATATGTTAAAGAAATACCTTTTCCCTTTAACTTGCTTC